GTTACGAAAAAAAGGCCGGCGTGGCGAATTCATACAAAGTCGAGCATTCCACGTACACTTGGCGGACAAAAGACAAATCTCACCAACTCCCTAATCCATTGGCCAATTAGCACACTGTGTACATTAGCCGTTCCCAAGACGTTAGTTAGACCAGAAAATCTTAAAGCAACAGTATTTCGAAGAAAAAACAATACGACATGCTGGTTCACATCGAATCGCCGATGTTGCTAAACTGATTGAAGAATTGCGGAAGCAATGTAAGATGCCGCAATGGCTGGCCTTAAATTGGTTAGTGAACGGCGGAATATTCAATTTTGTAATGCTCCGAACTCCCTAGAAGTGCGAGAACTCCGAATTCGGATTGGGAAGGTATTTACAAATATAATAATAGAAAATAGTCCGAAAGCGTCATCGTGTTAATGAGCCGATTACTTGCTTGATACTTGAACGGCCTGTCCTCACTGGTTGTGCCGCCCTCAGGATAATCACCATTTTTCGGAAATTTGCTGGTTAAGCCATTGTGGTTTCCTGTATCCCGAAGTGAGCCCGGCCAAAGTCTGCTCCAGGTCTTCACCATCACAGGGAGTCGCTGCTCTTGTGGATCAGTGGGAGATTTGCTACGATGTAACTTTGATACCAAGACAGTGGTGGATGCTGGTATTGGTTTACTCTTAGCTAGGCTTTGTGATAGCAACGCCGGACTCCTTCTCAGCTTGGGAGAACTTGCAGGTGGACGAATCTCCCCGCTGTAAATGTCAGTCCGACACCTTTGAACATCTCCTAGCCACGATGAGACAATGAACCGTTGGGATCAATTAATGTACTGCAATGTAGCGATACTTGATACACTATTTAAAAGCTCGCCAAACCAGTTGATTTTCTTTGCTGTAGTTGTTTTTCTCTTTGATTTGGCCATCACCCTTGTTCACAGCATCACAAAGTAACGTAGCGAATAACGAAGCGCAATGAATCTGTTTGCTTCCAGATACCGACTACTTCCTTGCGAAAAGAGTAAAGGGACTCAGCAGGAAATATCTTCACTGGAACCCCGGTCGAAGGTCCAATGTGAATTTTCGTCATAACGTGCCCAATCAGCAGAAGAGTCAAGAAATCAAAGTGTCAGCATTGGATATTATTTCAATACGTTATGTATGCTTGCTTGTTTTTCGAAAATTCGTGTATACTGACAACTTAACGAATACAGTGGATACCGAGCAAAAAAATGACAATACGGTGTACTAACAAACAGAAAGGTATACAGAAGATTAGGTTAACAGAGATCAGAAGAAAAACAAAGATATGGTAAAACTGCAGCAGCGTAAATGTAGACGTTATCGAAAACATTGAACACTGTGATAATCGACTCTGGACTCTATTTTATGGAAAATCTTAGAGCGAGAACAACACTGTCAGACGTTCCTTCTTCTTTTTATTATAAATACACACTGCATACGCTGGAATTGGTGATATCAGATATAAGACTACAGAGTCCCGAAGTCAGCCTAGCCGAAGCTTTCCGAGGACTTCACCTCCACAGGCAGTCAACGCCGTTGACTGCTTGTGGATGTTTGCTTCCATTGTAATGGTTTGATATCAAGGCGTTAGCAATTCCTGGTCCTGGTATTGGTTGACTCTTCTTCGGCCTCCAGATGGAAAGTTCGAACTATCAGCTTGGGAGGCGCTGGTGAGATGATGAACTTTCCCTCCTCCCACCCAGCACACATTACAGCTGGTACCCAGGCAGCAGACCGTTGGGAGCTTTATGCTGAGTAGCACGGCAAGTACGCTAAGAAACCTTCGGAAAAATATGAGCCTAACCGACCTTTGGAGAAGAGACATAGTCTGCTTGTCTCAATAGTTTTCACGTTCACCTTTCACGAGGAAAATGGAAATGATGACCCGCAGTCACAGTGTTTTAGCTTCTATTCTTTACGTCTTATGCTAAGGTATGAGTAGAATTCGGAAACTCGGGTGGGCTTCGAACCTTTCTGCAATTATGCTTTCCGTGACTGACTTACTGTCTATCACACCGACTGTGGCAGGTGCGTTGAGTGGCTCGTAATATCGGTAGGCTGAAACAAATCACTGTGTGCATAGTTGCGTCACAAGGTTTAGTCTTACATTCTTCATCGTAAAGAGAAGTAGAGGCCTACAAGACACCAGATTTATTTTCAGAAATCTTCTTGATTCCGTGCAGTTTAGAGTCGTTAATGTTCCAAAAATATACTACTAAACATTACTTTTAATACCAACGTGAACAAAGAAGCCATTCTTTGCGAGAATGACTTAGTGTTATATGAGGCACTTTAAGCGCAATGCTTAGAAGTAACCTGCAAGACACGTGGTCGTCGGTTCCATGGACCGGTGAAACAAAGTCCTCCATTTCTCTTGAGTTGAATTGTGTTCAGCCGAACGAAATCCAAACTGTTCAGTTAAATCGCTCCTTGGAATATAAGCCGAACAAAAGGAGATGCTTAGTGAAAGCAAGAAAACAAAGGTTGCATTGTTGCTAGTTTTATTGGCGACGATGTCACGCCTCAGCATTAATGTGAGTGCACTTCACATCACATCTTGCCGTGAGAAAATTGGAAATACAGAATAGAAGTTGAAACATTGTGACTGCGAGTCATCATTTCCATTTTCCTCGTGAAAGGTGAACGTGAAAACTATTGAGACAAGCAGACTATGTCTCTTCTCCAAAGGTCGGTTAGGCTCATATTTTTCCGAAAGTTTCTTGGCGTACTTGCCACGATATTCAAGACAAAGCTCTAAACTTCAGTGTCGCGTTGTAGTATTTGCTGGATGTGTGTGGAGAGAGTTCATCATCTTACCAGGGCCTCTCGAGCTAATAGTTTGAATTTTCCATCTGCAGGCTGAAGTAAGAGTAAATCAATGCTAGGAATCGCCAATATCTTGGTATCAAACTAGTAGCATGAAGGCAAGCTTCGTTCATATAGAAAACGGAGTCGACTGGCTGGACCCATGACGTCTTTGGAAAAGCTTCGGTGAGGCTGACTTCCTCATCTATGACGTCCAACTCGCCAAGACGAATTTTCCGAAAGTAGTGAACGTTGGAGTGAACGTTGTTAACGTTCACTAGGACCATTCTCCATCAATGATTCCAACCGGTTGCGAAATCCGAGCTTGAATTCGTAGGGGTTGATCTGTCGAAATTGCCGCCTTGGCATCTGAGCTTTCAATTTTTGAAGTTGGTAAAGATCACAGTTTATATTATGATTCAGTTATATGAAGAGAAATTGCAGAAGATGTGCTTCAGTGATATGTAACTATGAAGCATTCGAAATAAAGCTGTTGCTAAACAAACCCGAGAGAAATGGACCTACCAAATGCGGAATTGATTTCTGAACAAAACGGTTTTACTCTGTATGTTACAGTTTCCCTCCCAACTGTTTACAGCCTCATTATGACTTAAAGGTGTTCCTGGGTGTCGGACTGCGATGTACACCGGGGGATTCATCCTCTGGTAGAGCAATCCAAGTTGAGAAGAAGTCTGCCGCTTCCATCAGGAAGTCTAGCTAAGAGTAAACAAATACCGGGATCCACTACCGTCCTGGTGCCAAAGTCGCATGGTGGTAAATCCTCCTCTGATCCACATGGGCTGCGACTGCCTGTGGTGGTGACGACCTGAGGCAGACTTTGCCCAGGCTGACCTCTTCGAGGCTCCATGGAGCCATAATGGCTTAGCCAGCAAAACTCCGAAAAATGAAGATTATGCTGGGCCCTCACAAGCAGTGAGGATGGGTCATTCAAGTATCAAGTAAGTAAGTTACAGTTCTTGACAGGCTGCTGTGCGACGTCAAAAGCTCAACAGTTGGTCGTAATCTCGAAATATTATAGGCTCCAGCGTAACCTGGGTTTTTCTCAATTAACTCCGTGAGTTTCTTTTGGTTTCACATATTTGGCAAGAAAGATATCGTAAACTGAAGTTCATTTTCTCAGTGCTCCAGTGCACCGCGCAGTGTGCTATTCCGGTTCTCCTTAAGGATAACAGATTAAGAAGAACCACACTTAACAGCGACAGTTTCACTTGTTTTACCACTTTGGAGATGTTCATGTTGTAGGCGTTGTCCACTGTCAACGAGTAGTAACCAGCAGGTTCTCCGTTGTGTCGATATCGATCGTAATGCTTGCAGGCAAGATTCTGGCTAAGCATCCAGGCGGCCGCCGTAGAAACCCGTGCAAATGCCATTTTCATCAGGATACAGTTCCGCCATGCAAGAGCTGTTCTTTTGTGCGTTTTCCTTTGGCTGACTAGGCTTTCTTACGACTTCTGGAATCTGAAGGTCTCAAATTTGCCGATAGCGCCTTCCTTCTTCACCTATTTCATTTCATTAACGTTTGGCCATAAAATCACGTCATCACTTTCATCTCCGTTGTATTCCGAGCTGAGGACGAATGTTGCGTGACTTTGTGTTTTCCTTGTTCCTCGTCTTCTTGATTGGTTGTATCAACATCTGCTGACTTCTTGCGGTTGTTAGACGCCACTGCGTATGAAACTTCCCTTTATTGAATTGCACGAGCGTATTTAACGTAACCAACCGTTTCAATACTGGGCTGCTGTCAGTTCGATGTTTATTTGTTTCGCTTTTTGTGTATAAATTGCTTTTTTAGGAGAAAACAGGACGTCAAATAGTGCTTGTGACGGAGATTTTCTCTTGAACTAATGGTCCCTTAATTCTATTCGACGCTCATACCCACGTGATGAGTATCCCTTCGACGTCAACAAGTGACTCCGGCCTTGTGCTTCGGTCCTCGACTCACCACCATTCGACGGAACTTGAAGTTGCACGGTAACGCTGTTTTCACATAATGTGGTGTAGATTTGTGCTAAGCGTTCCACTTTGATTTTTATTGAGTTGGTTGAGATCAGAATTCACAGATCATTTAATCATTCATAGCTCTATAGGAACATGTGTTATTCACGAACGCCAGACATTTGCGAAATTCGCTTGTAACATGAGTAAGGTTTAGTTGAGTCCATGGGTGACACCGGTCTGCATGGTGACAACAGGTTACAGTTTTCGAAAGTTTTATAGTGGCGTGAAGTGTAGTATCTCAAAGAATTTTTTCTTTTGAGCTCTTGCCAAAATGCCGAGCGAAATCAACTGGTGAGGCGGTTGTTTTCCGCGATGCGAAGTATCCCAAAGCGAATAGTTATGTGACGCATTCCTCGATTCCGTGAAAACGTTGAGTTATTTAATGGGAAGCATTTGGGAGAAATTTTTGAGTCGGCTGTAGAAACTTCCTAACAACGCCCAAAGAGTCAGATCCGTTAGACCAACAAACACGGTGGGGCTCTGTCAACTACCTGTTCAAAAATGGACCGTTGCATGTTGGTTGTGGTGTTCATCCCTTGATTCTGAGCAAAGCGAAGACCTGTGACCGAAAACGGACGAGTTAAGCGAAGCACTACAGCTTCTGACTCGACTCAATTGATGGGTTACAAATGGGGACGGCTTCCTGTTATCGTTAATATTATCTTTGCTGAACGAGGTACATTTCGCAATGTGTGTGCTCTGTAATATTTGGTGTACATTTAATAATAGCAGCTGTGTAGTTTATCCTTGTTTTTACCGTTCCGTGCCGACACTCCCCATGTTTTTGGTTTGTTTTGCTTCAATTGCTTTCGTATTTAGTGCTGCACTTGTGTTTCGTGACACTTGCGACGCCCATACCTTATGCGAGACTGATGCCGAAGGTGAGAAAACTAGTGGTAGGAGATGTAGATCGAGAGTTCAGGTACGGTTTTCTCGCATTTTGTTATTTGTGTAGATGGTAACATTGCAATGTTATTCTGCTGAACATTAGACGTTCATACTATACAACTTGCTTAAAGAGGATTTTCGTAGGCCTCTCATAACTCGTTTGCTTATGTGAATTTGTTCAGAATTCATCTGCATTAAAAGACCGACTTCCTATAAACCTCTCCATAATAGTCGATATATCTTCATATTTGCTCTTACGAAATGCCCTCTTTATCTGATGCGATGTTGGTATGTATGTTCTAATTGTCGTTGCCACCTTTCTTCAACAGGGGCTGACGTCTCGGCGACTTCGCCTTCTTCAGTGCCAGGGCGTATCATGTGTAGCAGTACCCTCCAATACGGTGGATTATGTAGTGTTAATAAAGTTCCAGCTTATGAATAGACGCCAGTTTTGAAGATCTACCCACCCTACCGTTGGACCACTCGTGTGTTGTTCACGAGGGATGATGAGAGAGACCCAGCCATGGGGTATGCATCAAAAAATCATCCGAGATAAGGTCTAACATCACGTGTGGTTGTGATGGATTCGTCTTTCCTGTTCATTTTTGGGCTTTTGAAATTTATCTAAAATGGCTCAAAAGTCTTGCGCTTTGATGTTCTCGATTTCTGCACTAGGATTCGGGCATTGACTGCAAAATCACCACCATTGCAATTTTGTGCCCTATGCATATCCAAAGGAGTAGTTTGTCGAATTTTAGCTTTTCCACTTAGGTGTTCTTTTGTGCGAACACAAAGTGGTATACACGTTTGGTGAGGAATACATAGGGAAAAGACTCTTGAGGCGTTTTGTATAAATTTCAAAAGCCCAAAAATGAACTGGAACGATGAATGCATCACTACCATACGTGGTAAGTGACCTTGTCTCGGAATGATTTTTTGATGCACATCCCCATGGATGGGTCTCTCATCATCACTCGTGGACAACACACGAGTGGTCCAACGGCAGGGCGGGTAGTTATTCAAAATTGGCGTCTTTTCTTATGCTGGATCTTCATTAGTACTATGTAATTCATCGATTTGTGGAAGTCCTGCTACATATGATACGTTCAAGTTTTGAAGAAGGCAAAGACGCCGAAACATCAGCCACTGCTGAACAAAGACAGCAGCAACAATAAGAGCATCGATAACAACCTCGCCTGCGCTAAAAGTGGGCAGTACGTAAGGACATATGTACGGATATATCATCTTCATCGAGAAGTCGCAGGCGGATTATGACAACAGTGGCGAAAAATCGCAGTAAGGTGATGGTGTGTTTTGTTCTGTGTTTTCCACTTCTACGTAGTGTTTCCATTGCTATGGTTCGTGACTGTTGACAGCTGTCACTAATTCAGTCTTCTTTCCCAGTTTGTCATTCCGGAAGTCCTGTTCAACGAAACACAAAAGTGGATTAATTGCTTCATGAGGGAAAGGTGTTGTGTATGCGAGGCCTACAAAGATGTTTGGCAAAGTGCTGAGAACCGTTCAGGTTCAAATTGTTCGAATTGTCGATTGCAAATCGATTTGTCAAGTTTTATCTGCTAGGGTTATGAAAGTGTTTGGCTGAGTAGATCACATCTCAATTCGGCCTTTCCAGGCTCTTAAGAAGGCGAAACCGCCGAAACGTCAGCAATTGTGTTCTAATAAATTCTATATTAACAACCTCGTGTCTACTTATTGATGAAAAACATTGAATGTTCGAATTGTTTTGGAAGAACTTTTGTTTTCTTGAGCGATTTTGTTGTAGGTGTTCGCCTGCTTAGGCTTTCTAATTATGCCATTTCAAGGGAATAGACGGCGGAGGCTTTCGAAGAGTGGTACGATTGAGTGGGTAAAGCTCACTAAAAACGAGGAAATGTTATATATTATGCGTTGTAAAATTGTCGTCTTGTAGTCACAGAACAAATGCTCGTCCATGTTTGCTCCACCCGGAGACGAAGTGTGTCGTGAGAAAGTTAGCAATATTTCGGTGTTCGAAGTGCATACGAGGTATGTTTTCTTTGCATGCATCTTCTGTTATGTTGTGCGGTAAGTTTTCTTCATAAAGAACTGTTACATAATTTCAGAAATTCTTCGGAGCAGTTGAGTTGGATATGAACATTTTCGTTTTAGGTGAATGGATCAGATCGCTGCCAACTAGGTTTGCTGTGGCTTGATAGTAAGGTTAGTAAAATTTATTGATAATTAGACGAAGTATGGTGATGGCGCATGTTTTAGATGCTCTTCATTGATGCTGAACCTTTGGTGTTCTTTGTTCTCGCAACTTTTAGTAATGGTGATTTCCGATCGTGCTGATATTTCAGTAGAGTGGATGTCTTTTTGAGACGTTTATCTTGTTTGTGGAATGTGATTATTGCCAATTTCCTATTTTAGCAGGTGGATGATATTTTAGCAGAATCTTTCCAGTTCTTGAAGTTCCCATGCTACTAACACCGAGGAGGAACATTTTTAATCGACTTTAGTAAGTCGGCTTTACCATCACTTTTTTTCACACTTTACAGTACGAATTGATTAAAGGGGCTTGGGTGGCGCAATGGTAGAGATGACGTTCAATAATACGCCTTGGACCTAAGGCCATGCCACGAGTCTACTGTGCCTCCCATCACTCCGAGCCAGGCAAATTGGTGCCAGAAGTGTCTCTGGTTAATTAGCTCCATCTAATCCTCAGGGGCTAACGACTGCCTTAGTTGAAGAACTTTGAATGTCTGAAATGTTTTTGTAATGCACTCTTTGTCGTTCATCATGCAAAAAGTTCACTTTGTTTTATTCATTTTATGTTATATGCTCTCGCGGTTACTTCGAATACTGAGTGGCCCTGAAAGGCCATTGTCGATTCAAGGCTGTGGTGTTTATGAAAAGTATTACCGCTAGAAGTTGCTTGAAGTTATCTACAATGAAGTATTGGAATTTATATGGAAGAATTTACGTTTAGAAATTTGAGGTGATATTAATATTCCGTTACTGTGCGGTAAATAAGTTGTACACTTCGCGAATATCACATTCTAGATTTTGTCAGAGGAACAGAAATTCAAGAAGAACTTGTACTAGAAGCGATTGCTGGCCTGCGCAGTTGTAAGTTGTCAAGGTTTTTCCTTATTCCTGGATCAGATTCTTGAAGCTGTGCTGTTCATTTATTTCTGTTCTGCTTTAGAAACGGCATATTTCTTACTGTACGTAAAGGTTGTGATGTAGTAATGGAAATGGGCAAGTACATGACTGCGAAAGCGGAGTTTATATAATTAGCGAGGAAGATTTTGCCGGAACAATCGTTCAAGGTAATGTTTGAACGCAATGCAGATTTATGTAGAATTTAGAATTTCCTAACTTTTTATATTTAAGCGATGGACACATGCTTATTTTGAGTTTATTGTAGTATGAGGTGAGCCAATTAGCTACCAGATGATACGAACGGAACGATTTTATTTTTGTCCCGTAGTCATAAGCGGAAGGAAGTGCATTGCTGTTTTGTTGGCTATCTCTTGTGTTTCCCATAAGTGTTGAATGACTCAAGTCCACCTAAGTGAAGTTTGCACTTGCCATATTAGCATGAAAAACTAGGGCAGTCTGTTTCACTCATTCGCGAGATTTCGCTAGAAGTCTGATCACCACGGCTACAGTCTTCCTGCTGTACGTTTGACTCCAATGCGGTTTAATCGCTAACGTCTGTCATCCATTAGTTGTCGATAAAATGCATAACGAGTTCGGTTCACCTATTTTTCGACATTTCGGCGTAGACAGCGGCGTGTCGTCGTCACACGGAGCTTTGGATTCGGGATATCTGTTGCTTGTATGATATGAAGTCTTCATCTCCTCGTCCTCTCCGTAGCACATTCGAAAGGATTGAGTGATATTTCATATCGTTTATGCGACATTCCGAAATATGTATTACGTCATTGAGACTGTGACTAGTGGAAAAAGTGAATACATGGCCAGTGGTCCTTCGTTCTTTTTTCTTCATTACATCTTCGATGAACTTGTAAGTTCCTCAAGCCGCCTTTCTACAAGCGCTGTAGAAGCGCCTGGCATTAACCTGGCTAGTGTATAATGTTACAAAAATGATTCCATCAGAAAATCGAGGATGATGCTTCCGTCCATCGGTTCGCACCACTATGTTGACCCACTCAAATTTTCGTGTGACGTTTTCTAGAACCTCTTTTAAAAAAATTTGGACAGGATGTTGTGGCCGTATGAAATTCTCTGTTTTGAAAAATGCTGGTGTCTTTAAGGAAAGGATAACTTTCAGCTGTTAAGGTAAAACCTTGAAAAAGATCTTTATCGTCGTTGCTTAGGAAGATTTCAATGACGTTATTCTTGTAAACGGAGTCCAAGGTTTTTTCAGGCCGTTGAAAATGAGAAANAAACCCATAGAATCGCGTGACATTTCATTGAGCTTCGCTATAATATTGGTGTAATTCATGGGGCAGAACCTGTCCAGGGACCATGCTTGCTTGTGTGACTACCCTTCAAGCAGTGTTCTGTCAATTCAGTTAAGAATGATCAGAGAACAGGACTTGTCTACAACAGGCACTAATAAGATTCGGCGATTTTTACCAATGTTTTCTAGATTGTAAGATGTAGTCGCCTGTATTATGTTGATCTCTCGTTCTCTCCAACGAGATCGTGCTGATTTTCCATTCATAAAGAAGCATTCAAATAGTGAGGTGTGGAACTCCATGCCATTGTGCTGATGAGGACTGGCAGTGAGTATTTCCAATTTTGTGGTCTAGTCCTGTGCGGATCAGTTGATGTACGGGGTGTCACTGACGAGTTTCCACCTGCATTGCCGCTATACCAGCTTCATTTTTTGGCGTTCCTCAAATCATATATGGAACTCTAGACCTCATTTTCGTCATACTTTTATTAGAGCAGTAAACAACAAAGATTGTCAAGGCTGATTGTGGTACACATTTTACCACCCGTATCGTTTGGAGGTGATTAAATGCATATCTGGCCTTTACAATGACTCGCAGTGGCCTACCGATGTATCGAGCCAGTGCTGCTATCCTTCCATACAAGTCTGGTACCAATTCGATTACCTCGGGCAGATGGAAAGCTTGGTGGGCTATGGGCGCGGGAATCGATTCCACGTGTGGGTTGCAGGGCGCCTCCGACCACTGCGCCACTCGCACCCTTACACCTTACTATCTGATCGGCCGTATACATCCAATTAAGGTCCTTATTTGTTTAAAGAGGTACATGGTATAGGGTACGCTGGTGTTAACGAGAATTCCTTAGGTTAAACATCCGCGTAACAACATTAATCAAGTCATTAGTCGGACTTAGGGAGCATAAAGCAGCCGTAGTTAGTTTCTTCCTATACAAGGTTGCTCTGTAAGGGATAATTCGTGGTTGAGGAAATTAGACCTTAAAATTTTCACGGTTTTTGGTGGATTGATCAGCGCCGGAAGCTTTAGACATTATGGCTCTATTTATATATTAATCGTCGAAGCAAAAACAAAAAGTCCATCTCACGATTTTACTTCTGCCTCTTAGGGTAAAAACTAGGTCGCTTTAAGTTCTGTTCTAACTTCTTATCCTCCACCTAGGGTTCATCGTTCACTGAAATGAGTGGATTAGGACTTCCAGTGAGAAAAGTCTTATAAAATAATATTGAACTATAAAATTTTCTTGTTTCCTAATCAAGAGCTATATTGGGAATCCGTGACAGTTTCTTGAGCCCTTCTGATATGTAAACAAATTTAGAACCGCCTTCTTGCGTCAGCTCAAGCACAACGGGGCTATTAACGTCTTTCAGCAATTACGGATCTTTGTCCAGTTACGTAGGCTTAACTCTAAGTTTAGAGTCTTATTACTGGGATCTGTCGTGGTCGCTGTCGAATTTTTTGATTTTTTAGCTGTTTTGCTCTTTATGTTCTTTTTTGATTGTTATTATGTGTAGTTTTCCTCCTCTTGGTGCTGTACTACATTCATCAACCTCATCAATTTCAATTTTTTAGCAATTCGTTTCATAGAAACCATTCCGTGTCCATTGTTCTTTTTCATATTTTTTCTAGGAGATGGCACATCATCTTGTATTGATTGATGCGTGCTTATTCTTTTTTCATATCAATGTAAAGTAAAATGTTAAGTCGACATACCTTTTTCCTGGTGTTGTAACAACTGTTAACGTCATAAGAAAATGTTCATCTCATAGAAACAGTGTAATTGTAGAACAATTCATCCACGTCAATCAGTATTACTCTTCTGACACCGTCGATGACTCATTGCTAACGGTAGACTTAGTCGATATCAAAACCTAAGACGTCGGTTCACACTTGCCGGCTAAATTGCTAGTTGAAAACTTAAAAGTTCTAGAATTCGACAATTGGGAAAAGAATGACACTGTTTTGATTTGATAAGCAAACTTACTTACTTACTTGATACTTGAATGGCCCGTCATCACTAGTTGTGCGGACCTCAGCATAATCACCATTTTTTGGAGATTTTCTGGCTAAGCCATTGTGGTTCTCTGGAATCTCGAGCATAGCCTGGCCAAGTCTGCCCTAGGTCGTCACCACGACTGGCAGTCGCAGTCTTTGTGGATCAGAAGGGAAGTTACCACCATGCGACTTTGATAGCAGGACGGTGGTGTAATCATTGCCAAAGATCGGCTACCGTAAAAGGCAAATTTCACGGGAAAGACGTGAACCCCAAGAACTCAACCATTCTCATATTTAGCGCGGAACCGTTCTACTATAAGACTTCAAGAGTGTCATCTTTCCCACCGATGTTGTCATGTGAATTCTTCTTAGCTCTTGAAAACTACTTTTCTCTAAACACCTGACATAATCCAACGATTCTGTTATTTACTGAGAACAGAATTTTTATTGTCAAAAACCAGAAAGTCGAATACCGTGACGAAAAATCGCGTGTAATCCGTTGGGCCAGCGATGCAGTATGGTAGCCGGGGCGGATTAAGTTGAATAATCACAGCGCATCTAAACTGTTTCCATTCGTTATCTCCGATGATAATATTATGAACACTCTAGCCTCGTCGAATACCGGACGACATGCACGAATGGTGTCGAACTTCCTAAGTGCTTGCTCAGCATACTGTAGGCTTGTGAAATATGCGCAGGAAGAGATCTTCCAAATTTGACAGTATTGCGAGCAAGGAAGCAAACATAAAATGACTCAGTACCATTGGCAATAGATTTTCCGTTTTTTCTCCGTTTTGCTCTCATTCCTGTCTTCACAACAGTTCTTTGTAGGTTTCGCTGAGCTACAATGGACGGTGAAATTTTTTATGAAAGAGACGATTAGAAAAGTGGAACAATGGAAACGTGTGAATAGTGAACACTAAAAGTTTCACATCCTCCTGCTATGGTCATTTCCGTATCGTTTTGAAGTTTCACATTTATTTCCCTTAGAGTGTCCTCGTCCTAATCGAGAGATTCGCAGGTGGTAAGCTTTTGACTGCGCTTGCCACTTAGGAAAGCTGCAGCACTGGAGCCTCAAAGTTAAAGGGGAAAAATTTTGGCCAACAAACAAATTCACTAAAAGTACATTGTAACTGGAATGAAGAAGTTTATTTATGTAATTATGCACAGTTATTCTACGACTTTTTAGAAGAACTTCATTTTTTATCTATTTATTCATTCACATGACTTCTGGAGGCCTAGTGATGTGTCAATTTAGTGTTTTCAAGCTCCTGAAGAAATTTGCTGCCAATATTCTTATCCTATAGTGAAGAACGGCTCCTGTAGTTCGCTTGATCGAACCAAAAGCCAACTATCTAGTGTAGGGCACCTCTGGCCAGTGCCCTGTAAACTCTTCCTTCAAACAGGAACATTCTTTGGGAAAACGTATGCAAATTCTTTCTGACATAGTGAAAATTTTTCCCCAGTGCCCAATTATATGTAGTTGAAGTTTACTTTACACAAGACTTGTCATTTAAAGTTATCGTATGATTATCTATACGAGTACATTGTGAAATCGAAAGGCATTATTAATCTGAAGCATTGCTTTTCGACCTGTTTCTTTCAACCCATAATCCTTTAGTGCTGACGGTGTGCCATAGTGGAAATCGTCGCTTGGATTCAAACTGGTGTCCGACGGTCGAACGTGAAGTAGACCTTCAGCTTACTTCGTTTGGTTCCATTAGAACACGGTGATGTCGCCAAGTGCTTTAAGGTTCATTGCGGGAAAGATTTCGATTAGCATTCCAAAATATCAAAATTTTCTTTCGTCTCCTCTAGAAATTTTAACTTTTAGCTACTTTAGAAGTCAACCAACGGTA